AAAATGATATACTACGAAATCGTGTAAGTTAAGACACCATCAGCGATAATTTTCAGATGGAGGATTAAAGCAAATCCCAAGCTCGTAGGCAAAGAAATAACAATATGAGGCGTCGTCTAGGAAAACTTAAACGCTTGTCTTCTTTATTTGACAGTTTGGTACGATATTTGGTGGATGATTATGAAATATACAATTCCACCGGCATAAAGCTTATTTAATTTTACTCCGGACGTTGACACTGAAGTTGGGAAATTTAGTAACTATTGACAACGCTGAACACTGATAATACAGCTTTCATGATGTGATATCGGCTATTTCGGTTCTTGGCAAAAGGTTTCATTTAGATACGAAAAACTAACATACTTTGTTATTTAAAGTGCGTATTTTTATTCCAACGTTAAGGCCGAAAAATTTAATTGAATAAATAAACGAGCGTATAAATTTAATTCAGTAATTAAAAAACGAGTTGAAAAAAACAGTTAGAATAGAAGCAAGTAAATGACGACAACAAACCTGTAAACACATGGCAAGATTAGCTCGGCATCCAAAGGATGTACTAACAACTCGGGGGTTGAGGTTGACTGCAGCGAACATCTTCGTGAAGAGAGAGGTTAGATTAACTCGAGGTCGTTCTTCTGACACAATGACTAAACTTCGCAAGTTTTCCAAAGTCACTTCCTTCAACTAAAAAATATATAGTAATTACTAACAACTACTTAAATACTAGTAAGTAAAAAAGTTAAAAAGGAACCAACCTTCATAGAAGAGATCATTTTTGAAGAGTAAATTGTTGCCAACTTGATTGTTGCATAAGAACAGAAGGCCTCACGAACTACAAGACGTGGATTAAAAAATTTTTAAAGTTGACATTTCGTGCGGTATTACGAAGCAAGTGAAAATAATACAGATGACTATGAATGCCAGGCTAGATGCTATTAAACTAATGGGACAAAATTTACTCAGGTAATGTGCAAAATCTTTTAAGTCATCCAAACATACGAGTACAGGGTATGGCGTTTGCCTAAACTAATGCGAATGAAAGAGGAAAGAGGGGAAATCGCAGAAACCTTATTAGCTGCATACATTTGACTATGCAATCTTTTTCTACAGTTTTTCTATGAGATAAATTTCTCGGCCTGTAAGCTGCTCTCCGATTTTTATGCTAGCAATATCGAATTCATTATCATAGGCCAGACTCAAACAGCTAAACATAGTTTTATTCCTACTTATTACAAAACAAACCATCTTGGATCTCAAAATACAAGTATTACGTGGATGATTCTGGCTCCTAAGCATTTTGTGATAGTGGAGATCAGAAAGGATTCTCTCTAATTCAGATATGCAGAGAATATATACATTAGATAAAATCCGATAGCTTGTATCTTCGTCATACCTTTTACTATTAATATTGTCTTAGATGACCTATAACAGGCTATTCAACGATCACATTCACTATTCAACCACGTCTTTCTATCACTAAATCAGAGATGGCAAAACAGAGCTAATCTACGCTGTAGTAACTGTATGATAAATACAACAAGAACTCACTTCTCCTCTGAGAGCAAAGAGTAAGCCAGAGATCTGGTGCGACCTCGGTGACATGTGGAGGCACAAGAATGGAGTGATGGCCACAATAGATGGAAGTGAGAAGCCAGAGACTGGCCGAGAGTCCACTGTAGGGCTCCAGACTCAACACCAACTCTCGGGCCGGATAGAACTCGCACTGCATTTTCTGCGCTCGGCACAACGCACTCGCTACCGAGTGAGTCACCTCAACACCCGTCAGTGTACCTAAGAATGACGAGAGCACAAGTAAAGATTGAGCGTTATGAAAAGTCAAACAGGTGACATGACCCCACGTATATAAATTACTAATTTATCCTCGGTACTGAATTGGTGCGGATTCAGCCCACCTATAAGGAATTTTCCAAATTCCCTGCTCTGCACTCCTCTCAGACCTCTTCTACGCACTTTCCCTTCCCCTTTCTCGCATTGCTCTTTATAGCCTGCGCTTAGGTTATGATTTTCTAATCCGGGAAATAGACTTTGGTATGGGAGTTTAAATTGGGCAACGTACACATCCACCAAGACAGAGGTCAAAAGGTTGAAACAGTTGACAAATTTAGAAAGATCTGAATCAAGTAATTAAAGACCGCAAGAGCAAAGCATCATTAAGATACGCAAGTTAAAATGGAGGAAAATGTATGGGCCCATGACAATTGCAGTTAATTAGAACACATTGAATGGTACTTAAGCCAATTCTTTTAGAATTAGCCACCAGGATAACTTGTTTTAAGAATGCCCCTCGAATTGTAAATAAGGTACTTAATTATACTAGAGAGTCTACTACTAGAAAGCAAGGGAATGGCAAAAGGTACCATTTCAGGGATAAGTTGAGTTGGGATAAGATGAACAAATGAATTTCGCAACTTCAAAATATGAAAAATGGCTCAATTTTGCCACCTAAGCATCCATTTGACCCAAACCGAAAATGGTTATACAATGTTTTAATTGATTCGTTGAAGAAAAAATCACTTATTAATACAACGTACCAGTGGTAGAGGGAGTGAAATCCAAATAAGCGACTTCAATATCCGGTGAATGAGGTTGGTAAACAGTGGTCAGCTTCTTTCGCCAAGTCTCATCATAATCCAAAAGAAGAGGCCAATTCACAACAGGGATCCGGTTAGCCGCTTCCTACAAATCAAACTACTTGTTTGAGGTTTGGATAATGGACAAAGAAGTCCTAGCCAGCTACAATAATTGACACACAGGATCAAAATAAAAAAATCTGGCATGGCTGTACTTCTTATAGAATTAATTAGAGGAGAGAAATTAACCACTTCTAATGAGCTCAGGAATCATATAAGATTTAAATAATCAAAACTGACTTTCGACTTGATGAGTTTGATGATTGAGGCTTGTGTGAGACAGACGACAGCCTGAGAAGAGGAAACGACATTCCAAGCCATAGTGACAGAGTCTGCGAAGCAAATTTGAGCAGGGGGAGGAGAGGGCTCGAGAGAGGACCGACTGGCTGAGAGGTCTAGTGAAGAGCCCCCGAAAATACCTCCACTCCCACCACTACCTCCTGATGTAGAAGTTCCGGTATTGCCTGCGCTACTACCACCGACGCCCAAGAGAGAGGAGCGAGGCTGTTGAGGTGGACGCACAAGAACCGGAATTGCGGCTATGTACAGACAGGCATAGAAGGCGCACACCATCTCGATACCTATAGATATGGACATTAGGATTCATACATGCTCAAAAGAGTAGGCCACTAGCAATACGAGTAGAGAATTTGGAATTTAAAATGAGTTAATGGTCGTGTCACAAACTAACCTAGATAAATTTTTACGAGACCGCATACAAGGATAAGTAATATATGTTTCGTAAATGTACGCTTTTTCGTTGAACAATAAAGTTGAGTTGGGTTCAAGATCCATTCTTAAACCAAAAAAATCTCGATATAGAATTTGTGTTTAAATGCATTCTCCGTCAACTTCAAAATAAACCTGGACATAGATTTACGGTAATTATCTCACATTAGTGAGTTGGCGGACAATGTAGACATCTAACAGATCAGAGGTCAGGGGCAAAAAGTGAATTTGAGTACATACGAGGATGCCATTAACCTATTATGTCCATCAAGAAACATTTTTCAGATTTCTTACAATATTTGAGGCATTAGAAGTAAAAATATATATATATAGCCTTGAGGTATTTCTGAGTTAAGTTAATGGAAGTGAAGTAACTCAAAGACAGCATCACGCGGCTTTGCTACTGACTGATTAAAAGTATGATTTCAGAATAAAATGTGATTAAAACTGCATTCCACTTCTACGCATCTCACAGTTCAGATTACAAATTAGCACTACTTCATTTTTATGGGGATGTAAAGACCTAGTAAACGTGTAGGTAAACTTATTGAAAAATGTCAATGGTACGTCCTATCGATTAGCACGCAAGATGGCTGATTGAACGCGAGTGGTCCCGGTCATGAGACTGCGATGACAGCATGACAAATCAAAACATTAGCGCCAAAATTGGACTGAGTCACGTTGGCAGCACAGCCCTCCCACAAAAAAGGCTCTAGCGAGACCATCGTGGAAAATGAGACTTAGCTTGGATTGAAAAAGGCTAGAAAGGTAATACTTATTTAGCGACTTCGTTAAAAGCCAAATCTACAAGTAACTATACCATTAAGCTGAATTTTCGCATTATTATAATTAACTACTTGGGGTGTGCGATAGACTTACCTCCTCGTGGTGCACCCTGAGCAACGTATACTCATACGGCAAAAAAGTCTATTATCTGGCAGTTGACTTCTGACTTCAAACCACCATGACCCCACTTTATGTCATATTCGGCCACTTTCACAGTATTCATTTTACCTTTTTCTCTACCCTTGTGCCTGTCTCTTCTGCATCTTTGAAACACTCTTCTGATCCCCCCCCCCCCCCACTCTCGACTTTTTTTCACTTTGATGTTCCCCCCCCCCTCTACGAAGCCTGAAAACAACTAAATGGCTAATGATAACTATCAAAACGCCTGCCATTTGATATAAATAAATAAATAATTAGCTACTTTCCCACCTGACTAGTTCAGCAGTTAAAGAGCAAATGAAAATGAAGCAAGCAAACTGGGAGATAAAACACGTATGTGTTGGAATGCACTACTACTTTCTTCTCTTTGGGAAGTTAAGACGTAAAGCAAAGCCGAGATATAAATATCACATATTCAAGTTAACCATTTCATGGTAATAAATGTGGATCGGCTTGTATACATTGAAATTCGGCACGAATGCAATGTGTTCATAATGAATTAAACGACCCGTGGCTTGAACACTTAAAAGTACACCTGTCATTGCTAAAATCTCTTATGATCCAAAACGAGATCATTGGTTCAGTTTAGATATATTCGCACTCGGTGGGAATTTAGATCCTAGCTCTATTAGATTCACAAACAATTAACAATATGTCTATTAAATTGTCGTTCACTCTTGTAGCCAGTGCAAGAGGTAGGCCTGATTACTCAGAATTTGTATTTTTTGGCAATGAGTCATTACGTGTCTTCTGCCAACCAATGAAAAAAATACGAATATGTCAGATGAAATTTTCGCGATTTCTATGCGTCAACCATGCGCGCATGTAAGCGCGTTCCAGCCACCTCAGGCACGCACGTATGCATTTTTGGCCAACTGAAGGGACAAAAGTCGTCTCTCTCTCCTTTTTTAGGGAAAATGGCGTTGACGGCACAAAACTATGGTAACAGAAAGTTAGAAACAAGCCGTTAATGAGGCGTTTGTGTGTTCGAAAACCCTCAATTAACTATTGAAAGAGTTAATCTCCATAAGAATCCTGCTGATATATGCATTTTCAAATAGCCAATATAATTATTGGATTTCGGGAAGATTGACGACGCCATTAGCTACGTGAGTGTGGACATAGATCAATATATATTTTCAAATGTGGAATTGGGGAATATATGAGAAAATGTAATCAGGCCGTTATTGATAGACTTTTATACACATTGGCGAGCCTAATTACGGTTATTTCTGCACTTGCATGGATTTCCTGACCAGGGGAAATTATTTCCACATTCCTGGCTTGCCAGATTGTAGGGTACTGTTCTCCTCATTGGTGTGGACCATAAGGAACGTGGAAAGCAAATTAGCTAGATGAAATGTACAAATGGTAGCAATAAACATGATATATCTCTAATCTGTAACATCGCCACACACGCCCATTTCGTCGTTTATAATTTAAGTTTTAAATGGAACACCTAGATACCGCCAAAATTAAAAAAAGGAATATGACTAATCCAGCAAATGAACATAATTTGAAAGAATGGACTTTAGGACTATCTTCACCATAAAAATATCGTGAGTGAGTAAATTCATCAAATACATATGCGATCGGGCCACACAACGTCACAGATATTTGGAAGATTAAGTAAAGAGAACTGAGAAACACACCAGGCATGAACATGATGGCTACGACAGAGCCAGGTTTGACGTTGCCTTTTTCCTGAAGCAGAGAGCCCAGACGCTCGGCTTTCTGGTGAAGTTGATGACAAGTGAGGCTGGCTATTACAGCACCCTTGGCGTTGTAGACACTGAAGAGTCGATCATCAGGAGTGTGCGTAGCCCGCCAAACCAACACCTCCGTCACTGTCTGCTGTTGCTAAAATGGAAAGGACTTGTTAAAATCGTCATTGCAAGTAAAGGTAACTTTTCACTTGTGATGGATTTTTGAAGTACTAATGATTTGCGAGTCAGTAATAAAGCACTATAATCATGCTACTTCTCCATTGGCCACTTTTTGCTCCAACGAGTATCAAATCTGACATCAGACTAGACCGAAAAGTCAACCAGTCGGAATGAGCAGACTCTACTGAGCTTTCCTACACAGCTCTACCTGAAGTGTACTTCCGATTCTTTACCACTTTTCACATCTGCCTTTTATGAAACATTACTGTTATCTAAGTTAGGCAGTATTTTCACGATAACATATCGCGTGGATAATAATAAGATTAGCACGCCCATTAAGTGCTTTCGTGGAAATGATCGAGTTGAATTAATTCAAGAAACGGAATAATATAGCACCTATTTCAAAAGATAAACTCCAAATGAAAAAGTGACTGCATTTAAGAAATAAATGCCCTGCAAGTCTCACTTTTAGGATTAAGCTATGGGAAGAAAGAGGAGTTACAGAAGTATCACGGAGACATTGGAAGATATTAAATTTTCGTGAGCAATAGGGAAGGGAGTTAACATAAGATATGATACACTTGGCAGACTAAGTGCAATTGGCTTAGAAGGCAACAATACGAAATTTTAAGTGACATACAAATGCCTATAAACATACCCAGTTTCCAAGGGGTGTGCGATAGACTTACCTCCACGTGGTGCACTCTGGGCTACGTATACTCATACGGCCAAAAAGTCTATTAACTGGCAATTGACTTCCCACTTCAAACTACCACCACCTCACCCTATGCCATATTCGACTATTTCCACAGTGCTCTTCTTACCTTTTTTTCTACCGTTGTGTTTGTCTCTTACATCTTTGAAACACTCTTCTGTCCCCCCCTCTCGACTTTTATCAATTTGATGTGAAGTCTGAAGTCAACAAAAGGGCTAATGATAACCATCAAGACGCCTGCCACTTGATATAAATAAATACCCAGTTTCCAAAGCCAAAATGAAGACAGAGAGAGGGAGTTA